ACTGCCGCTTGGGCAGCCAGCTGCGCACCTCGTGGCCCGAGCTCTTCTCCTCGGCCAGCAGCAGCTGCTGCCGCATGTAGTTCTCGAACTCGTACTGCGAGCACTCCTCCGTCACCTTCGCCTGCGGACGGAAACATGCAGGCGGGCGGTGAGGAGGGAGAGCCACCCGCCAGACAAACATGGAGGCCGGGGAGGGTGGTGGAGCTCCTGGCTCCAGGAGGTAGTACAAGCTGAGCTGCCTGCTCCCTTCTTGTAGTGTGGACCTGTCTCTCAAATGTTCTTAGGGGCCTTGAGGGGGTCAGCATATTAGCTGCCCACCCTGGAGCAGGCCAGGCGGGCAGTCTGAAGCAGCAGATCCCGGCACAAATCAGAGGGGCTCTGCCCGCAGCCCTGGGTTCCAGGCTCAGCTCCGTCACTTTCCAAAGTGTGTGACCTTGGGCACACTGCCTGCCCTCTCTGACCAGAGAGAGGAGCTCAGGCCTGCCGCCCGGAGGGCGTGCTGCACGCCAGGGGTGGTGGTCATTTTCACGCTGAGCCACCCAGGCAGGGGCTGCTGCAGTGCCCCTGCTCCCTGGGGCAGGGAGGGGAGACAGCCTGCTACAGCCTGCCCTCCAGGGGGCGACTGAGCCGGCCGCCCTTGTCCTCAGTGCAGGGAACAGGGGAGGGCAATGAGTCATCTGGAAAATGGCCAGCAGGAAGGATGAAGGAGAGCCCCGAGTCAGAGGGGCTGGGAAAAGTGACCCTTAAAAGGCCAGCACAGGCAAAGCTGGGCGGAGGAAGCCAACAGAGGGCAGGCCTGGGCTGCTGCGCGCCTTCCAGGGCCAAGTTACCCCCTCGGCGGTCAGCGCCACAGGCCCGGCTCTCCAGGCGGACGAGGCGGCGGAGGCCCGGACCTGCGCTGCCCTCTCTTCCTCACCTCCGGGGGGCCGTCAGCACTGCTCATCTGGCCGTCGATGTCCGGAACCACTTGCAAGGGCCCACTCAGAGACGACAGGGACTGCCTGCAGGACACAGGTGGGTCGTGGCGGCCAGCCAGGGCAGCCCCGGGCCTCCGCTCCCCAACCCTGGCCAGCAGAAACCCGGGCGAGCCAGGTGCCCAGTGCTCCAAACCTTGGCCCAGGGAAGCATTACTCATTCCAAGCTTGCAGGGCCTGGCCCGCGGGTCCCGAGGTCTGCTTGCACCTCTGGAACCCTGACTGGCTGGTGCGGCGCGGGGCTGGCAGAGCCCTCCCAGCCCACTTACCAGGACGCGATGATGGCGCTGAGGGCCTCCAGGACGTCAGAGGCGGCCAGGCGCTGCTGGGGGTCAAGCACCAGCAGCTTCCGGATAAGACACACGGTGTTCTCGGAAACTCGCCCGTCCCTGGCACGGGTAAGGGAGCAGAAGGTTCAGGTGGGGAGGACGGGGCCAGGGGGGGCTGCCCGAGCAGGTCCTGTTTCCCCCAGTTCGGCGGCGGCGGCAGCGGCAACTCACTCGGGGATGGTGTACTCGGCGGCCTTGATCTTGCGGAAGAGCTCCTGCGGGATGCTGTCGTAGAAGGGGAACTGGCCGTAGAGCATGGTGAAGAGCACCACGCCCAGGGCCCACATGTCGCTCGGCTTGCCCCGGTACGGCCGGCCTGCGTGGCATAAGCACACACGCTCAGTCCGGGCAAGGTAAGAGCTGCCCAGGGTGGGCCTGCTGCTGCTCAGCTACCAGCTGTGCCTGGAACTGCCCCCACCCACACGGCCCTCTCCAGTTCCCGCCTCCCCTCCCCCACCCACCCTGCAGCCTGACTCCTGCTCATGTGCTCTGGAGACCCAGCTTGGCAGGACCACACTGATGCTGGTGACACCCCTCCTGACCTGAGACGATACCCCCACCTGCCTCCAGGGCCCTGCTGTGCCCACTGGCTATCTGCCCCCGGAGTGAGCAGTTCCAGGGAGCCTGCCTGCTCACGGCCCAGGTCCTGGCAGGGCAGCTCACGGAGCAGGTGCTCCAGGATGTTTTTGGATGTTCCAGGAGACTGCCCGCCCCCAGTCGGACAGCACCGTCCTGTTGGGTTCTTGCCCAGTGAGGAAGGAGCCCTCTGTCCAGCACTTTCTCCCTGCCCCGTCCGCCCCAGAAGCCTCTGCTCCGTGCTCGGGCCTGGCACAGCCCTGCGGACTCTGCGAATATGCACACCGGAAGAGCAGCCGCCCTGTGGAGCACTGTAGCCAACACCGCTCTTTCACCAAGTGCCACAACTCTCTGACGGACTTAATCCATCCGCACGATGCCAGAGAGGAAACCGAGGCATGGGAAAGCCTGTGTTGTGACCCAGTTGCCCAAGCATGCACGCGGCACACAAGTGCTGGAAAGGCCCACTCCACGCATGCAGGACCACCGTCCCCTGCCCCAGTCACAGAGAACTCAGCTGCTCAGCGCCCTCTCGCGAGTCACCTCCTCTAGGTGCCTCAGTGCCAGGCGGTGGGGGGCTAGGATCCCTGCCCTGCAGGCTGGCTGCCTGAGCCCTCCAGAGGCACCACTGTCCCAGATGGGAGCTGGGGGCTGGCCCACCACAGACCAGCACGTCACTGGGGGTAGGTGGCATGTGGCCCCATAGGCTGTGGCTCAGAACAGGGCTTACCGTCCTGCCAGATGGGGGTGACAGCGATGGGGGTGACACCCCTGTCAGGCTGGGGTGGGGTACCTTCCCCCCTCCCAAAGCAGGCAGGAGCATGGGCTTTGGGGGCCAGGCGGCCCGGGGTTGAAAGTGTTTCCTGGTAGTTAGAACTCCCGGAGTCCTGGGTCCCTCACTTCTGACAGAGGAAGGACCTAAGATTAGTGACCCAAAGTCCACGGTGTGAAACACCAGCCGCCCAGGGGAGGAAGACGATGCTCTCTACTCCCACGGGGCCAGTGCTGCCCTGTCCTACAAGGTGGCGACGAGTACGAGTGGGCATCGACGTGAAGGCCGTGTTTGGTTGGTGTGAGGGCAGCCACGTGGCTTTGCAAAGGCGGCTCGGTCTGCAGAGGGGCGGGGCAATGACATCATTTCCTTACTGGCTCCATCATCTCTCACTTCCCACGGGACCTGCTGGCTGGATGACGTGAAACACAGGGTCCCCTCTCTGGTGCCATTGCCTTGGGGAAGCTCTTGTTTCATGGGCTTGCATGACGGCCGGGTCTTCCTCCCCAACCAGACCCCCATCCTACATGGAAGTCTGGCCCAGACACTGAATGAGCTCACGCACCACTGAGCACGTCGGGGCTGATGTACGCGGGGCTCCCCCTCTGGTCCTTCAGGAGATCCCCCTCGCTCACGAGATGCTTCCCGAGGCAGAAGTTGGTGACGGTTATCCGATGAGTCCTGCAGGGGGAGGCAGAAGACAAACCTTGGGGTCTGCACCCACAGGCACTGGACACAAGCGGGGTGGCTCCCAGCTGGCCAGCCCGCCACCTTGGACCAAAGGAGCTAGGTTTCTCCGAGGAGGGCAAACTAGCCAATATCCTCACTGACCCCGCCCACTGTCCCCGCTCAGGAGCAGAACGGCTTGGGTGTCCTCTTCTGCTCCCCTGCTCATGGCCCACCTGCAGACACGTCCCAGCAGGGATTCAAGTCATCCCTGCCCACTGAGGGCTTCAGGGACAAGCCTTGAACCTGCTACCTCGGGGTGGGGTAGGGTGTGTGCATTAGGCTGAGGGTTTACACCTTCCAGAAAATTCCCCGACAAAAATACACATAACATTAGAGCTTGGAAATGAGTGGCCCAGAGGTTAAGTTCAAGTCCCCTACAAACTCATGGCGAAGAATCGGTTCAGCTTCCCATGCAGGAGTGGCCAGAGGGCAAGGACCAGGCCTCCTCAATGTGACAGCTCCCCACAACAACCCGCAGACCAGGGAGGGAGGGGCTTCACCTCTGAACCTGGAGCACCGAGGTCCTGGGGATATCCCAGCTGGACCTCGCCCCTGGCATCCTAGTCCTGCCAGCTGCAGCTCCACAGCCCCTGCTGCCCCAGGGCCTGAAGAGAAGGTGGAAGGAGCGTGGACCTGTGCTGGGCCCTGCAGCAGACGAGGCAAGGCCCCACTGACACAGCCTGTGGTGCCAGGGACCAGGAGACCACACCCCTAATGCTGGCAATCTGCCAGGGACCGAGA